GGTTTGTGCCATGAACACCTTCATTTGTCATTCATTCATTCATTCATTCATTCATCCGTCCATCAAGCAGTCCCTGTGGCCCTTACTAAGAAGCTCAGAGGAGAAAGAGATAAACTAGACCTCATTCTGATGTTGAGAAGCTCTGCCCAGAGGGGGAGACTGGCCCGTAGAAAGCCGAAGCCACAGTCACCGTTGGGGAAATGAGCAAAGAAAGGAGGGGCAGGTCAGAGGGGGCTCCACGGAAGCATTTGAGCAGAGTCTTGAAAGCCAGTGGGGCTTCGAAAGACAGAGAAGTGGGGAAAAGAACCCTGAGCAGGGCACCCAGCATGTGCCAAGGCTGGGGGACTGGGAGGCTGGGAGCTGTTGTGCGTGGCTGCTGCTGTGGTATGAGGCCCCTGGGGGCTCCAATATGAAGCTGAGGAGCTGTGCCTTTATGGGAGGGCATCATTCTGTTTCTAGGGTAGCTCCAGTTTGGTGGGCCAGCTCAGCTTTCCGGAGATGGCCAGAGGGGCCTGGGCAGGCAAGTGAAGGGGGTAGGGGGCTGTCCGCAGGGTCAGGGCGTGGAGCTCACTGTCCCTGTCCTCTCTCCCGCAGGACTTGCAGCGGCTGTGCTCTGATATAATAGAGCTGCTAGGACCAACGCCGTCCCCGCCCCGCAGCGTCCTCTCCCCTGACTCTCAGCAGCCTTGAATCCTGGTCTGGCTCGGCAAAGGCCTCGGCAGGTAAGCAGGATGGGCTGGCCCCACTGGGGCCATAATCTGTGGACATGGGGCCACCCAGAGCAGGTGGTGCTACTTTAGGCTCCTGTACAGCTGGAAGGGAAGGGGCTTATTTCTCAGTTTTCACTTCTTCCTTGGCCTCTCCTCTCAGAGGAGGGCATGTGGCTGGGCTGGAACAGTTGTCCCTGTCCTAAGTCAGGCAGTGCTATCGAAGGTGTGCTTTAGCCAGGTCCCTGTAAGCTGCGTTAGAAAGGCCATCAGAAGGACCCTGGCTGGAAGCTGTCCCACAGGCCCAGAGAGAGGTCAGAGAGCCTCAGCTAGGTCCAGAGTGAGAATCACAAGAGACTGAGGAAGGGACGTTGGCAGGATTTGTAACTGGCTGGTGGTAGGGCTCAAGGTTAGGAAAGCTACCGTGATGTGGGGTGGGGGTTGATGTTGGAATTCTGAGTGGGGGTGGGAAGCTTAAGCTCCAGAAAGGCTCCCTGGAGGAGGTAGAGCAGGTTGTGGCCCAGAATGTCTCTGAGAGGGCTGAGATTTTCATAAGGAAGAAGACGACTTGGGTGGCATTATAGTTACACTTGGGCCTGATATTCTCATTTAGAGTATAGAGACATACAAGCACCCTCACATATGGACCCTGAGGACTCTCTCAACCCACACTCAGAGCTGTGCACACACACACGTGTACACTCATGCTCATGTACACAGACATACGTGGTGCTCATAACCGTGTGCTTGCAAACACGCCCATGCATGCCAAGGATACACAGATGCGCATGAATGAGTGAACATACATAAATGGTTGTGTGTGCACAGATACGTACACAGACATGCAAATATATGCTCTCTCACGTACATATATACACAGACATCACTCACACCTGCCACACGTGTGCACACAGATGTACTTGCATGCACATACATGCTCATAGACACACATTCACAAACTTGTGTGTTTGCACTGCATACAGATACATAGGCACAAGCTCACAGCATTCACACATACACACAGGGCAACGCACACATGTGTACACAGGAGAGATGTTTACCAAGGAAAAGGAACAGTTCAGGAGTTGACGTCTTCTCACGTACAAAAGCTTCCAGAAGCTCCTGGGGCATTGGGCAGCTCAGGCCAAGGCAGAGCCGTAGCTCCGTTTGTGTGTACGTTGGGGAGAGTGACTGTCAGGGTTTGAGGGCCAGCCATGTGACTGACCATGAACCAGCCCTATTCACTCTGGGCCTTGGCTTCCTCCTCTGGAAACAGGAGCAGTCACCACTTGCCTCCCATAGGGTGGTCTCGAGGATTGGAGACCACCCATGCAGGCTGGTGAGAAAGAACAGTTTCTGGCAGTCCTCAGGGTTTCAGCCGATTGGAGCTGTTATTCTCATTTGAAGAAAACAGGTTATGGGTGGAGTGGGGTGCTGTGGGTATTGCCATGGGGTGTCTGTGGGGCTCTATTTGTGTTCCTCATCCCCTGGGGACTCCATCCTGGCTTCCTGGGGCCTGTGCACCCTCTGAATCATGGGCCTTCTCCCAGGTAATGGGGTCTGTGTCACCCCCGGGCCCTCCCCATCTGCACATCGCTTATTGACTCCCGGGGTGTTAGGGGTCTGTGGCGCCCATCTCTGGTACACCAACCATGTTAGAGTCCCTGTCACATTGCCTGCATGGGCTCTATAAATCCCTGCAGGAAGCCCGAGAAGGAGCCTTACTGAACAATTTCCAGACAAGGAAACTGAGACACAGTGAGGATAGGTGAGGTTTTCAAGGACCCCTGCTCATAGGTGTTGGAGCAAGGCTTCAGATCCAGGCCACTGGGTGCCAGACTTTATGCTCTTTTCTCTAGTGACCTCTCTTCAGGGATAGGTCATCTCACGCCTACTTTGCAGGTGAGGACACTGAGGCTCAGAGAGGATAGGCGCCATGGCCAGGAAGTGGCAGAACCAGAATTGGGTGCTTATTATCCACACTGAAGCCCCAAATTCAAGACTTTCTCTTCCTTCTCCTCCCTCCTTCCCAGCAGGGCCCCTCCAGGTTGGAGAGAGTTCCCAAGGAGGCTGCTGGGATTATCCGGGCTTTTAGTCCTGGCCCAGTATGCCCAGGCATGTTGCCATTTTCTTGAAATAAAAAGGTGGGTTGTTCTCTGGGGCCTGCTATCTAGCATGATCTAGTAACTACCTCTCTGAAACCCCTTTGTAAAGTGTCCTTAGGATTGTCCTTTGGAAACTTGGCCAGCAAGAAGTTCTGGGGTGCCCAAGAGACCTGGAGGAGCCCTCGGCCTGGGGGCAGGGAGGCACTTTAACCTGCTGGCACTTTAACAGCAGGCTCTTTAACCTGCTGAAATGTCAGGGTGGGGGACCACAGCACAGAGAGGTAGGGTCAGTGTTGGAGAAGGAAAACTGGGAAGGATCCCCAGGAGGTGACATTTAAGCTGGGCCTTTGAAAAAGAGGAGACATGTACTGGGTTGCTGTGGAGGGAACAGGAAGACCAAGCAGAGGGCCAGTTCCAGCAAAGTCCCAGAGAAGTCAAAGTTCATGCACAGCCTTCACACCTGTACCCAACAGTGCCCATCAGAATCTCCTAGAATCGGGACCAATACAGAATTTGCAGGGCCCAGTGCAAAACGAAAATGTGCAGTCCATTGTTCCCAGATTATTAAGGATTTCAAGATGGCAACAGTACAGCAGGGTCCTTCTAAGCTTGGGGCCCTGTGCAACTGTCCATGAAGCTAGCCCTGCCCAGCGTAAGTGCAGCAATCATAGGATTAAGTACAAAGAGCCAAGTTCATGTGTAGGTTCCACCAGTTACTTACTGGCCTGGTGACCTTGGGCAAGCCCCCTTCACCTCTGTGAGCCTCGTCTGCCCATGGGAGTGGTGGTGCCCTCCTCCCTGCACCAGGAAGCTCTGCAGGGGCAACATCCAGCTTGTCCCAAGCAGTCTGGGACAGAGGCTTCCGTTAGGGTGGGATTGCAGCCCCTTCCATCAGATGGTGGTATTCAGGCTCCCTGACCTGCTCCTGTTTACCTTCCAGCCCTGTCCCTGCATACCTGGTGGCCTGGTTTTTTGTGCTTTTCCAAATCCATCAGGCTGGGCAGTGGGGGGTAGAGGGAGTCTGCTCTGTGTTTTACCTACATTGCCCTCTGACTGGACTTCTCCTTGCCCATCCATCCATCTCTGCTTGGCAAACTCACTCCTGCAGGTCAGATGCCATGGAGCTTTCTCCGACCCCAGACCCTGCCTCCCGACCTTTGCTCTGTGACCCCTCCAGTAGCTACAATGAACTCTTACACTGTAGAGTTCTCTCCAGTGTGCAAAGCTCCTTCACACGCCATCAGACTCTTGAGAGAGTCCTTGAAAGGCCCTGTTCCCATTTGCTGGATAGTAAAACAGACTCTGAGGTGCAACACCCACCCCAAGCTCCTGAGCTGAGGTCAGGCCAACAGCGGGCAGGGATATATACGGTGGCAGCAGAGGGTGGCACCTGGGCCGCACCCTAGTCAGCTTCATCTTGCAGCATTCTGGGATATGGCTCTCCCCTCCTGGTAAAGAGCTCCAGCCCCTGGTCCAGGAGTGGTGGCTGGCTTGCTGAAGAGTGCCCAGTGGATCCTGGAGATCTGACCAGCTAGAGTAGGCAGGACCTCAACCTGCTCTTCCCTGAGGGTGAGATGGCCCAGTTCACACAGCCAGGAGGACCAGAGCCAGGTGTGTGTGGCTCTGAAGCGTGGGCAAGTCCCACATCAGGCAGAGATGAGAAGGCCCGAGCTGGCTTGGGTTGTAACAGCCAGTGAGGGCTGGACACAGATGAGAGGGTGTCACATGAGGGGCAGGAAAAACTGTCCCATACGGCTGACACTTTACGAAAGGCACTCAAGACACTCTTGGTGGGTGGATGTACAGGACACCGCTGTGATTAGGCTTTGGGGATTTCCAGCTCTGCCACTTCTTTCTTTGTGGCTTGAGATTAGTGACTCAACCTCTCTGTCCCATTTCCTCATCTCTACAGTAGGGAGAACAGTAGAGCCTGCCTCACTGAGGTGTGAGGAGCGCAGTGAAGTAGGCCGTGTAAATCCACACAGCAGTGCCCGGCTGTGGCTAGCACTCTACAGCGGGTGGATCGATGGGGCCGCACATGGAGGAGAGGGATGGGGCCGGCCCCAGGGCTGGGCACACGGGAGGGCTTTACTGAGGAGAGGCAGAGTTGCTGGTCATTTAAGAAAAGATGTAGGGGGAGAGCAGGGATTGGGGTTGGGCTGGATTTGGGCAGACACCTGGGGTGACGGCCACACCCTCGCCCTTGCCAGCCCCTGCAGCCTCTGGCGTGTGGCTCATGCTGCCAGCATGCACACCTTCAGCTGTCAGCCAGCAGACTTCCCGGCTGGCTGCAAAGACCTTGAATGTCAAGCCCAGCTCACAGCGGGCCTGGCTGTGGCCCAGCCTGTGGTCACACAGAGCTGGGATTCCAGGGTCTGCATGTGGTGTGCTCATCACTCTCCAGCACCAGCTGAGAATGCACACACACCCCCACCCCCTCCTCTGCTTGGAATTTGTTGCCTGCAGCCTAGGCCCCTCCACCCCCCAGCCTTTGCAGCCTGCCCTGACCCTGCAACCCCTACCCTAGCCTGGGGCTAGAAATAGTCTGCAGCCCATGGCTCATTCCTGCCCAAGGTGGGACACCCCTCTGGGTCAGCAGGGCAAGGCTGCTGTCCTGGTAAGCCCTCTGATCAGGACTTTCATTCAAGCCTCAGTTTCACCAAGCCTCAGTCTCATCATAGACTTGCTGTGTGACCTTGAACAAGTCACTGCCCCTCTCTGAGCAGCTGTTTATTGGTCTGTAAAACCAAAAGATGGGGATGGATTGCGGGTCACAAACTGCAGTCTTCAAGGGCACCAACAACCCGGTTAAGCTGGGATTGTCCTGTTGTGCAGATGAGGAAACTTGAAGCACAGAGAGGTTAAGAAACTTACTCAGGTTCACAGTTATTGGTGGAACTGGGATTCAGC